ATCCTAATATCTTCCTAATAGATTCGTGCGCTCGCTTTCAGACAGACTATTCAGGCGTGCTACTGATCTCGCTACGACTTCTGCAAGTACGATATTACACTGTTGTATCCTTTAGCTGTACCTTTTCCTTGTATTATTCAGCATTTGGATTATGTTGGAATTGGGATAACTGTTTCGATTCAATGCGTGACAAAATAGAAAAGGCTTCATCAAATCTCCCTCGAAGATTCCTCGCTTGATCTTCACAGATCCCATGTAAACTTTGTTAAATAGCACTGTTGTCTATAATTGTTTCATAATTGCTTGGAAGAGCTATGGCTAGGCCGTCCCTGAAGTTGTGATCTCCGCAGCAGCGGAAAATTGCCGCCTTTTTTTCCATTGAAGAAGGCTCTCAAAATGCAGGCTTATGCGTCGTCATCTGTCTGCTACCCGATAAGCCGCAATATTGTTTTGTGTATAATAAAAGCGATTTTAATATTTATCATGTCATGTGTGCCTACATCTCATCCTGTAGGAGGCGTTTTGTCAATCTTCGACACTTGTGGACCATATTTTATATGTTTTTCTAGGCATGTCACAAGATGAAGCCGATAGCGAGAAGCAAGGCATCTCTGAGAAGCGATGCGAAATGTGTCTTTCCTACAAGGCGAGGTACCGCTGTCCGCAGTGCAACTGTTCTACCTGTTCTTTGCCATGCTGTCGAGAACATAAAAGAAAATATGGGTGTGAAGGAATGAGCTCGCGCACCCGATATGTACCTTTGGATACGTACGACAGTTCGGTGTTGTTGTCAGGTGAAGTAACATTTTCGTTTCAACATTAACGCATTTTTCGACTGGCCGTTACCCCTCCTTCAAACATGTCTATTCGTAGGGCCGAGTGTGTTAACAGGCGAATAACTACTGCGCGACCGGTTATCACTGGACGTGGACGTGGCTTATTTTTAAAGTCTTTACACTTAGACACCTAGAAGCTAAAAAGCAGTGCAGTACGCTATTTAATAATAGTTATTAACCTGCTAGCAAAGTTTGACGTACGCGCACATATTCTAGAAATTTCTGTTGTAGATAATTCTAGCGCTATTATTTATGCGAAGTACTAGTTCGTAAAACATTGTCCGGAATTAGCATCTAACAAATTAAATGGCGTTAAGTGTATCTGGCATTGCAGGTACTTAACATTGCCACATAGTAATGACCTGTCTAAAAATCTCCAGGCAAATAACAGCTATAGGGCGGTGCAGTGCATCCGGAAATCTGTTCTTGAATGAGTTCTTCGCATGATTTTACCTTCTGCACATTCAAGCTGCTGCAGATGATATGAAGGACTTCCATAGCTCATCCACGTCTCTACGTTGAAGATGGCGTGTGAGACGGGTTTTATGCTGGGGTTTTGTGTTGTTTTCAGTATGATCACCGTCGTATCCTACCAAATACTCAATCTTCATTTAACAGAGTCCGGAAGCGGATCAAAGAGGAAGTAGTTTAAAGTGTTTGGGAACCTGTTTCTCCAACGAAGTTCATTCTGCGTGAACTCAGAGTCATCCAGGAAACACAGCATTTCACAGTAAATGGGTAACGTGCTGCTTGCTACTCGAATACTTTTATGCACTTCGTTTGTGGTGTTGTTGCAGAATATCCTGTTTTCTCTGATGACATAATATAACTGCACTTCTTTCGAGCTGCAAGGATTTTCAGGTAATTCAGGTATTCATTGAAATCGATCACAGCCCTTTCATATCAGCAGCGATGCTGCGTTGACATTGCTGGTTTCATCAAGCATCTTGTGAGGTACTTAGGTTGCCGCACCAAGCACATTGCTTGTCGATCGATGCTTTGACGTATCAACCTGATTCCCTGCTACGCAGAAACAACATTAGCAGATTTGTAGATATTCTGAAGAGTCTCTTTGTATAAAGCTTCGACGCATTCTTCATCAAAGAGCGCGAAGGACGATACGATATGGTCATTATTAGGTACTGTAATTATCGTGTAATCAGAGGTTAAATGCCCTTGGTCTTTTCCCTGTCATTCAAACAGTTTGATTAAGGAGACTGCGTTGAAAACAAGTTTCTATGCTTCAGTTAACCTTACCTTTCCGGCCAGAAACACACATAAGACAGCTTCGCCATCTACTGCCTTGTAAGCGTTTCACCTTTTGTTTCATGAGCACCTGAATCTGAAAAAATAAGTTCTTTATTTCAGAGCTAACGGAATCTTCAGAGATCGAGCGCTGTTCTTGACAAGCTATATGAAATCCGGCTAAAAAGATTACCGATAATAATAGTTTCAGTCTAACAGTAATCTCGATATTACACTGTACGGCAGAAAGCGTTACATATGAATTCCCATCCCCTGACTCCGTACAGTCACCTGCCTTATTCATTGTTTATGTTGGGACCGTTCAGGCGATATCAGCTCACAAGATTATCTCTGCCTATGAGATCCCGTTGGTCGAGAAAATCTCCTCTCCCTGAAAGCCGCGAGGAGGCTGATTCACATTAACAGTGATAATTGGAAATGTGAATCAAAGCCTCCCACCTACAGCCCAACGTGTCAT